TATAAAAAATGATTTTTTTTTTTTTGTAATTTAATTTCCAGCCATACTCCATCAAACATATAGCTAAAAAATGATAAGACAGATTAGTTTCATAATTAAAATAAAACTAGCTCCTCCAAATGGTAAAACTTTATAAATTAGTAGTATAGATATATTTAAATGACATATAATTTATAAAGTTAGACTATACGCATAATAAGATGAATTAAAAAAAATTAATGAAGTAAATAAATAAATTAACAGTCTATATAATTATTATAGCAAATTCTATATTGTCAATATTATCATTTAAAAATTCATTGAAAAAACATATGTATAAAAAATAAATTCATATGATCATAATTAATAGTGTAAAATTAACTATCTTTGACTTTCCAATTGATAATAATAAAAAAATATTTTATATTACTATTATTCAATAAATTACATAATTTCTGCATATTTGATTATTGCAATCAACATTCTGTTTTATAAATTAAAAAGTGTGCTAAATAAATTGTCTCATATTTTTCATTAAAAAAAATTGTTGGCTGTGAAAAAAAATATTATCTTACAATTATAAATATAAATATGAGTAATTTTTATTAAATAATTACTTTTTAAGAAAAAAGTGACGGGACAAAATTCTGCATGATTATAACATCAAAACATATCCAAAACATCAATATTATAATGCATTAAAACCTTACTTTCAGCAACAGAAAAGTCATATTAAATGGAAATTGGCAAAGTTAAAGAATGAGGATTGACAAGGCATTGTATGTAATGGCATTGCCTGTAATGACAGATTGTTGTATAATATAGAAATATCAAGTATAATTAATAATCAACAAAATAAAGTCAAATCTATATGAAAAAAATCAAAATTAAAAACATAAAAAATTATGTGGAACATTATTGGAAACTATACAATATAAAAAGAAAAATAATTTGATTTCCCTATCATTATCAACACATTCAACCTTTACCAAGACATCTGCCTTTATATTAAAATTATTTTTTTGCGTAGAAGTTTTAAAAATAAAAATTCCTACAGATCCTTTTAAACATTAAACCAGAGATTCCTAATATGCGATAAATATATCTATACATGTTTGTTATAAACTTACCTAATATTTCAAAATTTTGAACAAAATACTAAAAACTTTGAAAAACTTCGGCAAAAGACTTTGAACAACTTCGAAAAATGATTTTGAACAAGTGTTAGCAAAGCTTCACTTAGTGATATGATGAGAAAGACGAGAAAGAATTGAACTATTTAGTGTTCAAAATCTGAACAAAATACATAAAAGTTACATATGTATGTTATAAACAGATATGAACAGATATGCTATAAACTTACCTATATATTTGTTAGTGGAGCTGAACATATCTGTTAGAAACTTACCTATTTTTCAAACCCTGAACAAAACACATAAAATTTTGAAAATGTTCGACCAGTTTAATGTTCTCTTCGAAAAACGATTTCGAAAAACATCGAAATAATTTCGAATTATGTATAAAATATGATATATCTTTGAAGCTTATTCAAAAATAATTTTGAAAAACGACACAGATCATTGAAAATAATAAAAAATAAAAACTATGTTTAACAAAAAAAATATTTCAGCTCTTCATAGATTTGTAATATTATCGCCCCATTTTGACCGACCTGTTAAGATTTAGCAACACATATTAAGAAATCGGGACGAATATTTATTTTCCGATCCCTACTGTTGGCCACAAAAACAACATTTCTCGGATGTTTTTTCTTTAAATTTTTAGGCCTTTACTGGGAGAAATCTCCGGTAAAACATTTGTTTTGTATTGAATTTCGCCGAGTTTGTCGTAAGATCAGGTTAAGGATTAGGGTTTCAGACAGGGTGAATAACGAATGAAGCCAACATCAAACGAAAAAATTGGGTTACATCACTCAAGGAGTTTATCTCTATTTATAGTCATGTTATCATTGATCTGTTTTATATTTGATTTTAGCTACACTAAAAAATTAAGTGGACTTCTACTTTGGGCTTTTTTTTATCATTCAATCAATATATTTTTTTATGGCCCAAAAATTGTCATTTTGTTCAAATGTCTTAAATATTTGGCACATATCATTATTTAGCAACCAAATACAATTATTTATTTTGTAATATTTTGTTGGTATTTTTTAGTATTTTTTTTAAATTACCTATATGATTTATAATACAAAATACAATAATTATTTTTTTTTTAAAAAAAAAAACCATTATATGTCTTAATTTGAAGAAGTGATTTGTAGTGATAGAAATTTTGTTGATAGAAAATCACAAACGTTGTATATAAAAATTTGTTTAACAATATTTAGTTATTCTTTTTTAGAACATTTTTCCAATGATTATATTATGATTTTTACTATTATTTATATCTTTTTATTATTTTTTATTCTAATATATTGCTTTCCGTGCAAATGCACGGGTTAAAAACTAGTGTTATTTCATATATATTAGAAACGGGGAAGAGAGTGCGGTCCCACCAGATGAAGGCGCACCATAAGAGGGTGAGCCTAGATGCACCTTAGTGAGGTTCCATCCCAAAACCAATTGGTGATAGGAGGAGTAGCCCACTAGGCTTATATACTAGACTCATTTTCCCTATAGAATCAATGTGGGACACTCACAAGTGATATTCCAACACGCCCCCTCACTTGTGAGTCCTTCGTAAGCCCACGCCCACATAGCAGGCCGGGTAGAGAGATAAGCCCAAGCCCAGAGCAGGCCGGGTAGAGATAGTCATTGCAGGTCCTAGGACAGGCCCGCTCTGATACCATATTAGAAACGGGGGAAGAGAGTGCGGTCCCACCAGATGAAGGCGCACCATAAGAGGGTGAGCCTAGATGCACCTTAGTGAGGTTCCATCCCAAAACCAATTGGTGATGGGAGGAGTAGCCCACTAGGCTTATATACTAGACTCATTTTCCCTATAGAATCAATGTGGGACACTCACAAGTGATATTCCAACAATATAACTAAATGAAAAAAGTGTAATATGATATATCTAGCTTAAGATAATGTAAAACAACGGTAATGTTCCTTTACTCACAGTGGACACATGTTAAAATATTCACCGTTTATGTGGCATGCACACATGGGTGATGTATTTTTTTTAAACATATTAACATCACCAATGAGTGCATGTCACATAAGCGGTGGGTATATTAACATGTGTCCACCGTAGGTAGACGAACATTACCATTTAAAACAATACTTTATTTGTCCCACACATATTTTACTAATTTTTCTACAAAAAATAATATAAAAATAAATGTGGAAAGAAAATTTAAACACAAAGTACATGACATTAACGCATACGTTATTTACTCATATAGAAAAATCAAAATCTCCACAATCATTATCCTCTCTATGTATAATTCCCGAACGCGTTGAGCCTACGTGGCTGCTTCTGGTGCTTCGGAATCCTATTTGGCGAAGAATCATGCTTTGTAATTAGGTTTGCATAAATAATATTGATATATTAATAATTAATAATCTAGGTTCGGGTATTCTTATTTAGCTAATTTAAGTATTTTTATATCACTTTTACTAATATAACCTTTTAATTCTTTGTAATTTCACATAGTGAGGCACTAAGTAACTAATATATCCCTGAATTTTGATTTCATTCAATAAACTATTGAATTATAAATGTATTTTAAAAGTTGATAACTTTTGTATTTCTTATCGGTTTTACATATATAATATATCAAATTAATCATCTTTTGATGATCTTCAATTTGACATCCATATTGTATATATGAAATAAATAAATTATATTTATCTTTATAATAATAAAAAAAATAATATTTATTAAAATTCATTAAAAAAATAAAATTATTTCTCAATTGATATATTTATATGTAATGTAGTTATATATTATAAGTTATAAAAATTAGTATAATATAACACAAGTAAGTTGCACAAATAAAAAGTGTCATAATAAATATATAATAGTATATATATTCTTGTAAAAGGTATTTAAATTTTCAAACTACTTTTTCTCATTAATTTTATATTTTAAGAACAAAATTAGCAAGCACCCGTGTAATACACGGGTGTTGTACTATATATATTAATATAAAGCGCGCTGAGCCTACATGGCTGCTTCTGGTGCTTCGGAATCCTATGTGACAAAATTACATGTTTTGTTATTAGGCTTTGATAAATTTTAATTTAATTACACCAAAAAGTAATTAGGTTCGGATTACCATATATATGTTGATTATTTATGGTCATGTTACATGTATTAATTGTCTTTTAACATCATTCATTATTATAACTATTAAATTGTATATATATTTTAAAAGTTAATAACTTTTGTATTTTTTATCAGTTTTACATATGTAATATATCGAATTAATCTTCTTTTGATGAGCTTCGATTTAACATTCATATTGTATGTATAAAAATAATAATTTATATATATCTTCATAACAATAATAAAATTATTGTTAATATTAATTAAAAAATAAAATTATTTATCAACTAATATATTTATATTTCAAGTAGTTATATGATATAAGTTATAAAAATTATTATAATATAACACATGTAAGTCATAAGTAACACATATCATTCTAAAATATATAGTAATATATATTTTTTTTAAAAAAAAAAGTAAAATAAATTTAATATAGTTTTCTTATTAATTTTAAAATTTAAGAATAATTTTTTAACAAGCTCCCGTGTAATACACGGGTGTTGTACTAGTCATTAATTAAAAATCAAAGCTCTTCCCAAATTTATTATCTAAATTATAAATTTAAATTAACAATAATTATTTTAGTAAAGTCACGTATTCTTGGTGGGCACGTACCTTCATAGGCAAGTATACAAGCACCGTATCACACTCTTTTAAGTTTTTTTTTTTTTTTTTTTTTAACTCATATAAAAGCCCAAAGGCCAATTATTTACAGCAAAATCTTTGTAGCTTCATTGTAAACTGGAAAACCTTTTTTTTTTAAAAAAAATAAAATAAAAATAAAAATGCAGATATTCGTGAAAACGTTAACAGGCAAAACAGTAACACTCGAGGTTGAACCGAGCGATTCCATTGACAATGTCAAGGCTAAAATTCAGGACGAGGAAGGTAATTGAATCATTTATATTATGTATTTCTATCTGTTTTTATTAAATTGCTTATGAAAAAAATTATAAAACTGGAAAAAATAAAATAAAAAAAAATAAAAAAATTTGAACAGTGCCTGATTAATTTTGTGTGGTATTCCAATTTTCGCTTGCTCAGGAATCCCGTCGTCGGATCAACAACGTTTGATTTTTGCCGGGAAACAGCTTGAAGATGGTCGTCGGACTCTTGCCGATTACAACATTCAAAAAGGTAGTTTCATCTTACACATGATTATCCCATAAGAAATTGATATATACTTTAATATTACTTGGTATTGAAAATTCAATCTAATAAATCTAAAATTGCAGTGTGTACTTTGCATTTGGTTCTGAGGCTGAGGGGCGGTCGCATCTACTGTCCATATGACCCATCTCTCATGCAGTTGGCTCGTAAATATATTCTCGACAAGCAAATTTGCCGCAAGTGAGTTCAAAATTTTCCCTAATTTTTTTTTATATTTTTTTATTTTATTACTATTATGAGAGTTCAATTAATATTTTCTAAGTATTTTTGTCAACTTAATTTTGAAATCATGATCAGATGCTATGCCCGGCTGCCCCCACGGGCCACCAATTGTAGGAAGAAAAAATGTGGGCACAGTAATCAGGTAACTTTTTTTAGTTTAATATATATTATATATATATATATATATATTTTTGGCTTTCTAATATTATATATGTATCACACAGTTTAAATATTTTGATTTTAGTCTTATGAAAACCTTATTATTTTTTTTT